TTTTCTTAGCAGACAAAACCTTGCCAATTGGAAAGAATTAGACTAGAAAGAGGGGACTAGTGGGAAATCTCTCTCTCTCTCTCTCTCTCTCTAATATATGCCATGCCTCTTCTGCATATTTCAGTATCAGTTATCTCCCTTTAACTCAACTCTGCAAGTTTTTGTTCACCTCTGCTGTAACCAGGTATTGAACTCACAACTCTTTGGGACAAAAACTTGCAGAGTTGAGTTAAAAGGGAGATAACTGATACTGACATATCTGGAAGAGGCATGGTATGTGGAACTAGAACAATCTATCCTGGTGGACAAAATAAAGGCTTTGGTTCGAAATTACAATCACCTGAAAAGGCCAGAGCATACAATGGTTGAAACATTGTGAATATACACAACAAAGATAAGGACAACAGTCTGAAGAAAGTAAATAGTGTAAATAGGTTGGAACATGCTGGTAGTGTTTTAAACTCAGCACAACATGAAGTTACTGCTACTCTTATACAGCAAGGTTTAGAATTACTACTACTTCTATAAAACAAACCCTTCAAAATCTTACTTATTATAAAATGCAGATTGTGTGTGTGTGTGTGTGTGTGTGTCTGTAACGTTTATATATTGGATCGGATTTCCTACATTTTTCAACCGATTTCAACAAAACTTCACAGGACTACATAAAATTACCTTGTGGTGGTTCTAACAGCTCCAAAAATGGGAAAAATATAATTGTTTTTGCACAAAATCAATTTGAAAACACGATTAAGAGACATCGTGAAAATGGAAGGGGGACAACTTACATCGGATTTCCTATATTTTTCAGCCGATAAAACAAAACTTCACTTTCTTTTTTTTTTGGCAGGTACTGTTTCTTATTCTCTTGCACCCTTTTTTCTTTATTTTTAACATTCAGAATGCTTTAAAAATTCCATCTACAAGACAATTATTTATAATAAAATTCTATTCAATTGGGAGACTCATAATGATTGAAAACAATGTTTTTGTTTGAGTTTGGGTTTGACCAATTCGTAAAAAATAAAAAAAAAAAACTAATTAAGACATGCATGTCCGTCAACCTTAAACAATAATCTAACGATCTATACTGATTGTAATGCCCCAAACATCGGATAAATTCTTTATCTTTAGGGAAAGACAATGAAATCTAAACATACACAAGTCCTAACTAAAAAAATAATAACCGGAACAGGAAACTACTTTAAATACACATGGTGTCCAATTTTTTTGTATTCAATAAGTAAAAATCATAAATTGTAAAAGATTATTATTACAGAAAGGCTACTAAATGAATAAGATTTGTTAGATCATAATTAATAAACCCAAATAAAGTTAATAATTTTTGTTTTAGAAATGAGTGGAAAATATATTCAAATCAGAATTCTAATTATGAATCACCACAAGCAAAATATGCAATTTTTTTTACTGTATTCAATAAGTAAAAATCATAAATTGTAAAACTAAAAGATTACAGAAAGGCTACCTACATTTTTTCAACCGATTTCAACAAAAACTTCACTTTTTTTTTTTGGCATGTAGTGTTTCTTATTGTCTTGCACACTTTTTTTTATTTTTACATTCAGAATGCTTTAAAAATTCCATTTACAAGACAATTGTTTATAATAAAATTCTATTCAATCGGTAGAGACTCGTAACGATTGAAAACAATGTTTTGTTTGAGTTTGGGTTTGACCAATTCATAAAAAAAAAAAAAACTAATTAAGACATGCGTGTCCGTCAACCTTAAACAATAATCTTTGTCAATTTTATTTTTCAGTCTTTATGATGGGGGATATTTGATCTATCTCTTACTGTTATATCCCCGGGCAACACCAGGCTCTACTGCTAGTGGCTAATAAGTTTCCCAAGAGCACTCATGGACATTTTCTATATTCTCTTAGTCCTTATAAAAGAAAAACTGTAAGAACATTATAAAAACTTAATAAAAAACTTATAAAATTTTCTGTCAGATTCAACAAAATATGTATAAAAGAAAGATTGCTACTCAAATGTTCAGAGTATATATATATATATATATATATATATATATATATATATATATATATATATATACCCAAGTATATAATTGGTATATACGGAATGAATTCCAATAACCAACAATTACTATTCTTAAAAGAGTGCTCAATGTATAACATATTTATGTTATAAATTTTTTTATAAAAAATAATTATATATATAGATAGATAGATAGATAGATAGATATAAAATTAACTCTGTTAGATAAAGCAAGTTTTCTGCAATAACACACTATTTTTCACATAGTCAACACCATTGTTTATGTTATTTTGTAAGCAATGAACCAGAATCTGCATGTCACACATGGAATGTAACCTATCCCATATACCACTATCACTACTGCCTAACAGTACTTACATCCACTGTTTGGTCTTCATAAATTTTCAGAAAGTGTGGATGTATGCTAAGTGGTGCAATCTTTCCATATGAAAGAATACCATGATACACTTCTACTTTGTATGCACTTTCATGTCAGAAGCCATTTTGCCAAACTTCTGTTTAACTGATATCTGGAACAAGATAAAAAAAAAAAAGAAAACAAATGTTGGTTATTGTTATTAGGTTTGACCTCTACTACTAAACCACCAAGATCTGTTTCTGATGTGGGACAACATAATAAAATAGGAGTCATTACTTTCGGGACAACTGTCTTATAATTATCAATATAATTAATAGCACTTCATTTTCCTGTACTAAAAAGTCAGAACATTTCTCAGATCTTCTACTTTTGTTTGTTAGCAATATATTTCAGACACTCCATTCTCCAGCCTTCCACAGGTGTAAAGCAAACATAAATAGAAGTCAGTTTCAAAACAATGCTCTTGTTTTACCTGAAGAGGTCTATAGTACCAATGATGACGGAAAAATTAACATTCTTTACCAACTGTTCCAAGAAATAGGACCTACGATAAACCTTTCCAAAGCAGAAACTATGATTTGGAATTGGAATGATAGTAGTGATGGCACATACCTTGAATCCATCATAAAAATTTAGAATGTGGAATTAATAAACTCTAAACACTTTGGTGTATGGATCACTTATAAGAAATTTAGTATGGAAGATAAAGAATTTAAACATAGAATAGGATGTGTTAAGAATTTTTTTATCCACAAGATGCTACAAAATCAAAATATCAAACTAAGAATTCAAGTCATGTTCTTAAGTAGCTTTGTAAGATTAAGACCCTCATGTGGATGTCATGCATAACATCCAATTCATTCAGAAATGTCTAAACTATCAGTTATATACAACTGTTTTCTCAGATCACTGATTAAAAATGGTTTTCAGTGAATTAATCCTGTAGGTCTTAAAAAGGACTATCCTTTATCAGATCTCATAGACTGGAGGGTCACAAACAAAGAACTTCATTAGATAACAAAATCCACATCACTTGAAAACTTCTGACAGCAGCAACAACTAAAATGGATAGCACATGCAACTCAAAGAGAAAATAATGACATAATTAAGATGTTGACTTCCCACACTGCCTTAAGCAAAATGTTAGGAAGGAAACTCCCATTAGTAATAGAAAACAGACTTGAGATGCCTATTTTCGTGAAAAATTGTTTTAAGAGAAAGATTTTATAAATTTCAACTGACAATAACACTAGCTGTTCAGAAAATGAATGTCAAATGTTTCCTGTATGGAAACGGCTATCTCACCCTTTCCATGAACATTGTATGGATTATTGATCTCATATTTTTTGCTACTTTTCTAGCTTACCTCAAGAGTCTAATTTTTTAAGGCAAATTATGAATGTGTTTCTGTGAGGCTAATGCAAAGCAGACATTGCCACCCAACAAAAGAAAATGGTAGAAAGTCTATAGATAGAATCAACCAATTATATCAATGTCTAGACAACTCTTGGAATAATAAAGACCCACCTCAGTTACAGAAAATATTATTAATATATTATTATTATAAATATTAACTTTTTGGGCTAAGAGTCATTCAGATTACTGAACTCATTCTTTGTGCTACTTTTACAGTTGCTACAATATTTCAGTCTATTTACTCTACAGCCTTCCTCAGGTGTATAATTTTTAAAGAAAGACCAAAATTTTCTTTTATTCTGGAAAACAGAAAATAATAGTGATTATCTCATCACCTTTCAAATGAGATCCAGATTAATGACATAGAGAATCACTTAAGAAAGAAAGTAAGAAAAATGAAAGAAACAGCATATATTTTCTTTTTAGCTGCTTGGATAATTCAGACCAATATAGATAGAGTATTTTTTTTTTTTTCAAAAGAGAAGGGGTTAGGGATCCCACCTTGCCATGTATAAATTCAAATCCTCTGAGTTTTGGGTAATAGCAAATGGCATTGTGTTTATGCCTCAAGTTGTGAGAATAAATCAGGTCTGGTTGCTATATTAGGTAAAATTTTCATTTCACTATCTTGTTTAGTGAAAAAAAAAGATAGAAAGAGATATTTTTGTCTTTTCTTTGAGATTATATACCTGAAGAAGACTGTAGAATGAATCAACCAAAACATTGGTAAAAACATCAGCAGCACAAAGAATGAGGTCAATTGTCAGAACAAATTTTGGAATGTTAATGTGTTAATGATTCTTAAAAATTACAGACAATAAAAAGTCAAATTCTAAATGTTGAATGTCAAGCAAGCATATCAGCCTAAATTACTAAATTAAAACTAAGTTTTATCAATACAGCACATATATATATATATATATATATATATATATATATATATATATATATATATATATATATATATTCTGCTGGTGATGGTAATGGTGGTGGTGGTGTTGATGCTAATAATCATTGTGATGCGGTCCATTAAAGTTTGTGTTATTCATAAATTCCTTGGTGCTAAAAAAAGTACAAGTAATCCCCAATACTTTTTAGTTTATTTATTTAAAAATTATTTACTCAGTGGTATGTCTGTCATCGCATCCCACTAGAAAAACCAACTGAACTTTTTTTTATTTGGTAAATGCCACCAGGGTTCCTGGGAAAAATAAACAAAGTGCCATTTCTTCTTATTTTTCATTGCTTTTTTTTTCTATTATTTTTATTATCTTTGCTCTCTTTTTCTTTCCCTTTTCTCTCTCCTTTTTCATTTATCCCCCCACCACCGCTATCTTATTTTCCTCCTCCTCTTTTTGTAAATGTTCTCTGTCCTTTTTCTCTACTTCACCACTTGTTTTTTCTTCATCATTAGTAGTTTTTATATTTCTTCCTCACAATTATTCTACAATTTTTTTTTATCATTTTTTCTTTTATCTTCCCCCCCCTTTACTCCCTTTTTATTATTCACTTGATTTTTTTACCCTCTTTTTTATTTGTTCCTTCTTTCTATTCCCTTCCTTCCATTGTTTTTCATTTTCTTTACAATTTCAATTTTTTTTCCTTCATTTTTGCATATCCTTTTTCTCTTCTTTTTGCAACTTTTTATTCTTTACTTTTTATTCTTTATTTCTATTCCTTCCCTATTTTTTCTTCAGTTCCTCCTCCACTTTTTCTTCTTCCTCTTCCCACTTTTAATTTATTTTTCCTTTTCTCTCCTTTATTTTCTTCTTGGTTTTCCCTCATTTATTTTCTTTTTCTTTCCATTTTCTTCTTCCTTTTCTCTTACACTTTTTCTTCTTCCTTTTCTCTTCTTTGTTTTTTCTTCCTTTTCCTTCTTTTATTTTCTTTTTCTCTCCCTCATTTTTTTCTTCTTTTTCTCTTACTCTTTTTCTTTCTTTTCCCTTCTTTAATTTCTTCCTTTTCCCTACTTTGTTTTCTTCTTCCTTTTCCCTCATTTATTTTCTTTTTTCCTTTATTTTCTTCTTCCTTTTCTCTTACACCTTTTCTTCTTCCTTTTCTCTTTGTTATTTTCTTCCTTTTCACTTACACTTTTTCTTCTTTTTCTCTCCTTTATTTTCTTCTTCATTTTCCCTCATTTATTTTCTTCTTCCTTTTTCTTCCTTATCTTCTTCCTTTTCTCTTACACATTTTCTTCTTCCTTTTCCCTCCTTATCTTCTTCCTTTTCTCTTCTTTATTTTATTTTCGCCTTCAAATCTTACTCCCCCTTTTTTATTCCCCTTTACATCTCCATCCTCCTTTCCCAGTTGTCTGTTAGTACAAACTAATTTCTTTATCCCTGGAATTTTTCAACACTGGACAGTCAAAGGTGAAACAAACAGATCAAGCAACACATGATAGCCTGACAAAAGTGACACAAACCCTGGCATTTGATGAGCAATACACACAAGACATCACTAAACAAAAATAAAACAGTTGTAAAAAAATTTAAAAAGACAAAGGTGATGTGAGTAACTCCCCTCCAAGACCTTCCTCTTCCAAGACTTCTAAACATCATAAAAGTCAGAATTTCCCAATTTCTTGGACTAAGCATTCACCCCACTAAGGATTTTTGCTTTCTTTTTCAAATTACTCCTTCACACATCAGTCCCCAGTGTGGTATCTTGACAGGGTTGGGGATCCGGTCTTGTTGTCTTTTGAAACATACACAGCCAGACACTATCAAATTGGTAGAATTAGGTTTCTTAGATTAACCCTGCCTTATGCTGTTTATTCTTTCAGAGCCAGTGGGGTGGGAATTTTATTTATTTATTTTTGTAAACCTTAACTGGGTTAAGTTGAGCTGAAAACTTCCAGCCAGGCTTGGAGGAGTTAATGTCTCCTAAATGTTTGTCTGCAAATATCTCCATATTTGTATTTTCCAGAGGAGCTGATAAAGAGATAACATGTAGGCATGAATATAGATTTTGCAAAGATATAGAACATATTTGTACCAAAACTACAATAATTGAAAGAAAAAAAAAATTAAAAGACTAAATATAGGCACTCAAACAGGTACCCTGGTTTATTAAGTCAACAAAGAACATTTAAAAAAAGCAAAAAACAAATATTTACTATAAAAAAAATTAATTTGGCACATTAGAAGCAGACATTCATACAAACATATCTGATGGAAAATATCCATGTGTATTGATTGATTCATTTAATATTTATGGCTTATCAACCCAACCAAGAAACAGGTTATTTAAAACCAGAAAATATTTTTAGATCATGAGAATTTTTTTTTGAGATAATAATGTGATACAAGTTTTACTAATTAATCCATAGCTGTGGGGAGAAGAGTTGGATTCATGCCTTTCCCAAGGGTATTTATGCATGTGAATATAACAAACCCAACAGGAATTGGAACATGGCTCTCCATTTAACAATTCCGAGGGATTATCCATTACACCACCCATACAGTCAAACTTACAGAACTTGGTATTCCCAAGCAGTCACCCATCTAGGTACTGATCAGGTTCATGACTCGAGACATTTTAAATTCTTTGGCTATTTTGTCAACAGAAAATGATCTTGTAAAGAAGATAGGTGCAGAAAGTGCCATGAAAAGATTTGCAGATCTAAAGACTAGAATAAATGTTTTAGGTAGGATAATGAATGTTTTCTTTAGCTTGTATTTAGTTGTATATTGTAATAAACTCATTATTCTACATTTTCAGTTTTTCTCCCTGTGAAAATTTTAAAAAATTATACTTGTAATGGTGCTGTATTTCAGCTTTGCCTGGGGTGCCAGCAACCCTAGGGTCATCATTGGATATAATAATGCTTAGAATAGGGAAATATAAGCTGCATATAGTCTTTCTTTCCTAGCACCCCATTGGGGTTAAAGTTTGATAATAATAATAATAATAATAATAATAATAATAATAATAATAAATGTCTCTAATGACTTCTAATCTTAATTGACTGGACATGTTAATGTGTATATGTTTTGTCTTGGGGGATTGAGATTATTCACAGAAATTATCCTGTTCAGTACCCCCATATATTTGCTTGTCATTTGTCTGACTCTGTGTCTCCTATGGGCTGAGGCATTGTGCATCTCTGTTGATGAGCAGGAGTAGTGAAGAAACATCATGGGTGGGTGTTGAAAGGGTTGGGGATTTTTTTTAAGTTTGAAGGATAAAGCAGACAAGGTGACTTGGGAGATACATCTCGATTCTAACTGGATCCCTCTGCAAGATTTTGAACAACTTTTATCAAAACCTGTCACCATATCACACACATTTGGTTGTGATGTATGTGTCGGGTATACTTTTATCAGACTTGGTATCATAATAGGTATATTGAACTTTGTATATTTGTACCCTACTATAACACTACTCATTAATAATAATAATAATAATTTTAACTATAATAATAATAATGACTAAATTTTCTGCAATTACTAAAATATTAGTAAATTTAATAACTATTAATAAAAATCCCAAACTCAACATGAAAACTTGGAAATCATATTTCCTACTGTATATTTTACATAATATCTATATTTATTGATGTCTACTTCTATGAATAGAAACTTATGATTCTTACACTTATTTTGGGAATAAGAGTTTTATTTATTTATGTTTTAAAAAGTTTACTGCAACTATCTTTTATCAAGTTTTACCACTTTTTCCCTCTCTTTATATATATATATATATATATATATATATATGTATGTATGTATGTGTGTGTGTTTGTGTGTTAGAAATTTTGGAGGATTGGAATAATCATTTATAGTAATTCATCAAGTCTAGAAGAATCCTCAACAGAATCTAGAAAGCACTTCACAGCAGTTTCGTCCTACTTGGGACTCACCAGCAGTGCGCATCCACTACTGAGAATTGAACCCCAGACCATTACAATACAAGCGTTATATCCCTGAACCAACAGACCTCGGTGACAAAGAAGAAACTGACTACACTCAAAATAGCACTGCTATTCACTAAATTATGTGATGATAATCATCCAAGTATTCGAAACACAATGGATTGTGCCCCAAGAGCCATGTCTTCTTTCCCTAAGCCATTAATATATAATGTGTGTGAGTGAATGCCTTTGTGGATATTGGTGAGTATAACATTTTTACCTGATTGAAGATAATGTATTGCCTTACTGTAATGATCAATACTGAAAGCCTCATCACAAAAGTAATGTAATTCTTATAGATTACCAATGAAAAGGTGTCTGGGTTGATGATAAAAGGTGGAATGAAGATCTTTAGTAGATGAACAATGCCAGAAACATTACTTGCATAATAATAAGTTTAAGTATACTGGTACGACTGCCTTTAGTTTGAGCAGTTTAATGTATAGACAAGTAGACTATATGTTATTTTCCAAGACAAATTTTTCTTTCATTTTACTTATGTTGTTTACACCTCATTGTAGTTTTTTTTAATCTTTTCACCCCAAGCATGGCAATAAAACCACTAAAATGCAAGGGGTTGCTGAGTACATTATTCGGATTATTGTCCTCATCTTTGTTGCCATATTTAAATATGGCGACAAAGATGAGAACAATGTAAATAATGTACACATCTCAGAAATATAGACAGATAATGAAGGATTGGTTACTGAGTATGAAAGAATATTAGAAAAACAAAAAACATTATTAAGGAGAGAAAACAATAAAAGAATGGGATTTAAGAAGACTAGAGATTTTTCAAGATCAAAGTTGACTGGAAAACAAGAAACTGGAAGAGAGTTCCACAAGCGAGAAGTGCAAAAGAAGAAACTTTTAGCATAAAACTTATGGTTAGAGCTAGACATTTCAACTGTAAAATGATGAGACCTAGTTGCCAATCTAGTACTGTGCTTAAATTTGGAAAGTTTAGGTAGTAAAGAGGAAAGCTCATCTGAACAATTACTCTGAAAATATTTATATGAAAGCACAGTGAAGCTCCATTATGGTGGTGGGAAAGTGACTGAGATGCCAAGTTAGGACAGCTAACATTGTTGTTTTTTTTTAATCGATCTCACCCTACACAAGGGGTTAAAGGGTGTGGAAGAATTATGAACAGAAACATTAATAATGAGTGGGAAGAGAAAAGAGTAATCAGGAGGACAGTAGATAGTGATTGACATTGCATTTAAATTTTTACAAATTAAAGTTGGCTGGAAACATGGAGCTGGAAGGGAGTTCCACAAGTGAGAAGTGCGAGAAATTAAACCAAGAATCTCTAAATGCATAGCAGAAGCACCAGACCAGATGTGTCAGCAATATTCAATTTAATAGTAGTAGATGTAATAGTCTTCAGCTGTCCAAATTTCTTAGATAAAGCATTACTATTTTTTGACTTGTCTTTCATTTTGTGTTACATGTTTAGTTTATACATGTTTAGTGGTAGTAATTGATGTAGTGAGAAATAGTAAATTTTAGTTGAAGCACTGTCATCATTGTCACATTTTGTTTAGCTTTTCTTACATCTTAGATGTCATAGTTTGCAGTTGTACAAATTTCTAAGATGAAGCATTGTAACTATTATTATTAATTTTGTTATTATTTTTTTTTCTTGTTTATTTCCATTTTGTCATAACTAATGGAGGGGGGTAAAATATGAATTTGAAACTTGTTCTTTTTTTCTGATTTGATAGTCAGAAATAGAAATGGCATCTGAGAACTGTGTGGATTAGAACAACTGCCAAAAAATATTTATAGAAAAAATTGAGGGAAACTACATCTTGGCAGAGCGAAAGTGACTGAAGTTGAGATGTCAGGTTAGGACCGATAATATTACAGACCCTTTGGATTTTGTTAAGAATCTCGAGATATATAGCAGGAGCTGATATGGTAACAATAGTAAACGGATGTACAAATAGATTTATAAAAATGATAGATTCTGATTAGGAATAACCTTTATATTTATGGTCGTAACATGACAAAATGTGGAAAAGTTTAAGGAGAGTGAAGAAAAGGCACTATAAATATTTTTTGTTCCTATCTTTACAAATTTATAAATATAATTTTGTCTTTCTCTTTTTTTATGTGTTTCTTTATATAAAAATACATAAATAAAAATCCCCCCCATAAGGAATTTGTTTCTTTTGAAAATATTGAACTCATTTTCTTTGAAAGCCTTCCTTCCATCTTAGCAATAACAAATAGTAACTCTTTCTTCTACAAATTGGTGACCAACAGCATCCTCATCCACTACAATCTTATAGTACCTCTTTGCTACACAATTCTTCTTCTATGTGTTATGTCCTTTCAAAATGTAAGCAATCATGGCTTTCCACAATTTCCCGTCCTTTGTAGCTCTTAATAAATTTTGTCTTTTTTCTATCTCTCCTAAACTCTACCATCCATTTTCTCAAGCTTTCTAGGTAGGTTATACATTGTTTTCCTCTCTCTTG